ACTTGTGCTAACACAGCCAACAGACTCAGGAAAAGAGTCCGGAGAGTGGAAAAGCACCAGTGAGCCACTGAGGGGACAAAAGTAAGTCCTGCGAGGCTCAGACAGGACTCCAAAGTCCCTTCATCCTACGGCTGGGGAGAGACCCAGGGAGGGGTGGGGAGCAAGTAAGGAGTTCCAAGCACATGCATTTAGTAATTTATCTCAGTGAACCTTGACTGTTGAGCCAATCGAAAGACGCGATTCACGTGTCTCCAAGGTGAATCGGCAAGCATGATTCACCAAGAAAGCCAGCCCATGCCGTACTCATCCCATCAACCCTAACCTGGATTTGGCTACAGGCAGACAAGCCCTGCTGCTCAAACTCGGCACCTGCACAGAGGCGAGAGGGCAGGTGCCGTCTCACCGCCATTACGGCAGTCACAGACCTCAGCCAGTCTGTGGGAAAGAAAGGTCTAGCTGAGAATATTAATAGACTCACCGGAGGCAGAAATTCAACAAGGACATGCCCCAGGAAGTGAAATGATTTAAAGGGAGGCTTAATCAAAGAGAGGCGGGAAAGAGGGAGCACTTGGATTTCCAAAGATAGATAGGCCTTCCTCAGCCAGGCGCGGACAGGAGGTGCACCCGTGGGGACGGGGCTATTCTAAAATAGCTGAAAAATCTAAAAACGTCTACGGGAAACCTTTTGTTGTGGCTTTCTTTCCATCCTTCAACGTTTTACCCAGGCTGTATTGAACTACACACACTCAGGCACTTGGGATACCCACCCCCCCAGCCCCCCCACACACACACAAACACATACACAAAAGAATGAAAGAAAAAGAAGAAAAGAAAAATGGTTTGTTGGGTTTTTTCTTTCTTTCACTTTGGGAGTTTTGCGACACAGGTCTCACATGTAGTCAGGCTAGACTCAAGCTAGTTATGTGGCCAAGGCTTTCCCTCCTCTTGCCTTAGCTTCTCTGCCACAACTGGTTCTAAACATCATTTCTGCAGACAGTAAAAAATACATGTCCCTTAGATCTTATTAGGGGAGACAACTTTCTTCCTTGTGATATTAGCATTAGCAACTTCTAGACCACATGAATTACACACCCATCCTAAGAAGGGTATTTTGAAGGTCATAGATTGACAAGCTTGTTTTTTTAATATTTTGATTATATTTTTATATATTGCCTGTGAACACACACGCTTGCCACATTCTGCATGTGGGAACCAGAGGACAGCTTGTAGAGATTGGTTCTATCCTTCTACCATGGGAGTTTCAAGAATCAAACCCAGGTTATCAAGCTTGGTGGCAGGTGCCTTTTTCTTTCTTTCTTTCTTTTTTTTTTTTTTTTTTTTTTTTTTTGTTTTGTTTTTACGAGACAGGGTTTCTCTGTATTGTTTTGGAGGCTGTCGGTCCAGCCCAGCCTCGAACTCACAGAGATCCACCTGCCTCTGCCTCCCGAGTGCTGGGATTAAAGGCGTGCGCCCCCACTACCAGGCGGCAGGTGCCTTTTTCCCACTGAGCCATATTGCTGGGCCTCACTTTTAACTTTTGGTTGTTTTTGTTGCTGTAAAACAGCATCTCCTGTATTCCAGACCTTGAACTTTTAAATATGTTTTTACTGTGTGTGTGTGTGTGTGTGTCACAGCACAACATAGGTGACAGCTAGAGAACAACTTTGTGGAGTTGGTTCTTCCTGCCCCACCGTTTTGGATGTTCCTGGGATTGAATGCTGGCCGTCAAATTGCACAGCAAGAGTCTTTACCCACGGAGCATCTCACTAGCCTGACCCTGAACTTCTGATCTATCTGCCTCTAGTTCCCAAGTGCTCCGTCTCAGGCATGCCTCCTACCCCACCCCCAACCACCCGCCCTGTTCATATGGTCCTGAAGACTGAACCCAGGGCTTCATGTGTGGGTAGTAAAGCACTCTACCAACTGAACTAAATCTCCAGCCCCAGATTTTCTTTAATGAGTTGTCACTGTTTATAAAATAGGTTCTACAAAGGGAAATAATACGGGAAACTCCACTCAATTCCTAGCATCTTTGGGGAAGGAGTTATAGGAAACCTGGTGCCCCTGCGTGAACAGAAAGGGAAAGCTGGGTCTTCACTGCCCCCTGTTGACAGGCCTATGGTTTCCAGTTTCCAGCCTGGCCAGCCCAGTCACTCATTTGTCACCTGATAATACTAAGAACAGCCACAGAGGGGCAGCACCAGGCTATTAATGCACCCATCACTGGCCTAGCCAGGGCTGCCCAAAGCTCTACTTAGCTGTTGTTTCAGAACCAGTCTTTTCATCCTTTCTCGGGTGGACACAGTTGCTCCTAAAACTCCATCAGACATGTTTGGGCAACAACTCAAACAATTCCCTTAGGCACAGCTACTGATGGCATTCGCTCTCTTCTAGGCCACCAAATGCCCCTCTTCCCAGGATACCCACTCCATAGCTGGCGTCTCCACCTGATGCCATCCATCAGACCTCTCGGGAGGTGGGTCCTGAGACAAGCAGGGGAGGCGCCTTCCTCATTTAGAGGCAAATTGACACTTGATCAAATAAATGCTCCCTGTGCTTTCTTCGCTCACTTGAGTTAGCCATCTGCTTCTTCCAGCCCTCTGTTCTCACTCCCTTTACAACCTCCCCAGCCACATCCTGAGTGGTAACTGTTGCACAAAAAATAAAAGACCCGCCGGGCGTTGGTGGCACACGCCTTTAATCCCAGCACTCGGGAGGCAGAGGCAGACAGATCTCTGTGAGTTCGAGACCAGCCTGGACTACCAAGCGAGTTCCAGGACAGCCTCCAAAGCCACAGAGAAACCCTGTCTCGAAAAACCAAATAAATAAATAAATAAATAAATAAATAAAAGACACAGAGACAGATATTGGGGTTCAAGCTGAAGATCAGGGACACAAAGCAGCTAAGCTACCAGAGAGCTCTTACCTCTAATAGGAGGGGTGTTCCTGTTATCAGTGTAGCTAGAAAATGAATGCCTGATACTGACTGCTGAAGACCCTGCTCCTATCCTTTATACCCATCTAGTGCTGGGATTAAAGGCATGTGATCCCAGGTGCTGAGATCATCTTTGTGTGAGCTGTTTCTCTTTAGGGCTGGATCAGTCTTGTGTAGGTCTGGGTGGCCTTGGACTCACAGAGATCCATCTGCCTCTTAATCCTGAGTCCTAAGATTAAAGGTGTGTACCACTACCTCCTAGCTTTTAGCTGCTGGGATTAAAGGTGTGTGTCTGGCTTCTATGGCTTGTGGCTGACTTTGCTTTCTGAATCCTCAGGCAAGCTTTAATAAATCATAATACATCACCACAGGCAACATACACTACAGTCCTTTTGGAAGGATGTTTTGTATTGTGCATGGAGACCCACTTTATCCAAGATCATGTGCTGTTCCTATCATTGATTCCATAACGCAGGGACAGTCATTGCAGCATTTAAACTCGTGAACAAGAACAAAACCCACATCCAGCAACTGGGAAACTTTAGAGTCAGTGTTTGTTATAGCTTCACTACTAAAAGCAGTGATGAAGGGGGCTGGAGAGATGGTTCAGTGGTCAAGAGCCTATATTCCAGAGATCCTGAGTTTAGTTCTCAGCACCCAGAAGCAAGTGGTTCACAATCGCCTGTTACTCTAACCCCCCTGGATCTGGCACCCTTTCCTGGCCTCAGTGGGCACCAGCACATTATATACATATACACAGCAAATATTAAACAAACAAAAACAATTATGAGGGCTTGAGAAATGGCACAGCAGGTAAAGGTTCCTAGTTGCAAACCTTAATGACCTGCATTAGTCCCTGGGACCCACATGATAGGAGAGAACCAATTCCCAAAAGTTGTCTTCTGAACTCCACACATGTACTGTAGTGCACACACACACACACACACACACACACACACACACACACACACACACACTCAATAATTTTTAGAAAGTATTAGAAACATGGGCTGGAAAGAGGGTTAGTGTTCCGTGGTTAAGAGGACCAGCTGCTCTTCCAGAGAACCTAAGTCTGAGACCCAGCATCTACACAGCAGCTCACAGCCATCCACAAGTCCAGTTCTGGAGGAATCTGACGCTCTCATCTGGCCTCTATGGGATACCACGTTAGCCTCAAACCCACAAAGATCCACCTGCCTCTGCCTTCCGAGTGCTGGGATTAAAGGCCCGTGCCACTACTGCCTGGAAAAATGATTTTTTAAAAAACTATTACAGAGAAACCCTGTCTCGTAAAAACCAAAATAAATAAATAAATAAAAAACTATTAAAAAAAGGCAAGCAAGCAAACAAACAATGAAATCCATCTTAGTAGCGCAAGTCTATAATCCTAGCTGCTCATGGGGTTGAGGCAGGACAGCCAAAACGTCAAGAATATCCTGGCAATCCATTAAAAAAATCAAAAAAAGAGGGCTGGGAATGTAGCTCAGTGATTGTCTAGCATGTGTGAGGCTCTGGGTTCCATCTCAGCAACCTCTACACCCCAGAACAATGCCAACCACCATATGGTAAGATGAAAAATAACAATCTGTAAAATTAATATAAAAGTATAGCCATAAATTCTTTAAGACTTACACAGAAAGCTAGGAGGGGTGGCACATGCCTTCCATCCCAGCTCTTGAGAGGGCACAGTGAAGGCAACAAAATGTTCCCAGCACCTGCAGTGGAGCACGGGGAGTGTGGGTGCCCAGCATCTGCAGTGGAGCACGGGGAGTATGGGTGACCTTTTCCCTTTCCTGCTCAATTTCTTTAACACGTAAATATCTCTGAGTGTGTGTGCTACTGATTTAGACTCTGGAGATGCTGCAGCCTCATGCAAGCATGATAAAAAAAGACTCCTGGGAACTTGTGCCTCCAGGAGTCTAAGCTAGCACTTAGTAAAACACAGCTTCCAGCTGTGCTCAGTGTCTTGGAAAGTCCACAGACACCATTGATATCACATCCCACATGCCTGCAGTAACTCCTCAGAGAACCCAGATCCCATCCAGAAGACACAGAATTCCATCAGTATGTCTCAGGTGCCACTTTAATTAGGTTCCCACTACAAGTGAGGGAGGGTGGAAGACAGGGATTGTTTCCAGGCATATGCCTTCTGCCCAAGGTAAACAGCCTGAGCTCCCCATAACAGAAATGTGCTTTCCTTCCCCTGAGAACCCACTCCTGAGCTGATACAGGCACAACCGTGCCAGTGAACAGGAAAAACACTTCAAGGGAGCCAGGGAGACTTCTGAATTGTGTCCAGTGCAAAAAGTACAACTAGACATGGAAGTGACCCTCCTCATGGCAACAACAAGCCCAACCATTCCCAGTTGAGGCCAAGCCTCTCCCCAGGGAGCCTGAGAGCAGTGTTCATTCCCTAGGGCTCTTCCCTGCAGCGCTCCCAGGTAAGATCAGAAGTCCACAGTCATGGGGACAGCCCATCCAGCAGACGCAGCCTTCCTCTTCATTGGCCCCTGCTGCTGCAGCTGTACAGCCACAATGGACCAGCCAGGACGTTTGTGGCGGTGGGATGCAGAAGGGGCCGGAGTGAGCAGCAAAGCAAATCAGATGTATGTTCTGAAGCTGGGTCGACGTGGTGGCAGGGCATATCATAGCCCCATGGATCACAGGGACCTGGGCCCTCCATTAATTCTTCTCTGGACGGTTTCTGTTCAGGACGGCTTTGGGGGCAAATTCCAGCTTGTCCTTAAGGCTCACTACCTGCGTGTGGTCCTTGCCTAACAGCTCATCCAGCTTTCGGTCCTCTCGACGCTCCAAGATGCTCTTTTCCTCCTCCACAGGCTGAGGAGCCTTTCCCCTGATGAACCATTCCAGGTGGTAGCCCACAGAACCGACCACAAAGGCCACAGGAAAGGTGACATAGGGAGCATAGGTACGCACCACGGACCAAAGCACAGGCCACATGACATCTGCAGAAAAAAAGAGAGCATTAGGGAGAAATGAGCATCCGCTCCCCCAGCAGATGTGGACAGCCCCCGGGGCACTCTACTTACCAGGCATCCTGGCACTAGTAATGAGCAGCCACCCCACAGAGCAGCAAGCGGCCACTGTGCTCTGTGCAACACTTGGGTCCCTGAAATACTCTAGAAGTTGTGAAAGATTTGACGGTTAAGGAAGAGGGTAAACCTCCATGAATGACGCTGTACTCATGTGAGCACATGCTACCCACAAGGAACCTCTGAGTGTCACTGAATGGAGCCTCAAACCAGGGGTGGCCTCAGGCCCTGTTCCCCTACCCCCAGTCTTTCAACATTTCAGGAGGGGAAAAGAAGTCTTTGTGAAATTTCACATGCTCACACATAGCTCCACTCTGGATTATGACTCTTTGATAATGAGTTCCTTTTCCTTGGGTAAAGCACAAGGGACTTATTTAGACAACCAAAAATGATGATTCATTACCTAACTAGCCTGGACTAAAGATTGATAAAGATTGTAAGCCTATTCTGGACTGAGCTTTTCTAACAATGACAGTAACCTATAGTTAGCAGAATCCTGGTCAAAACACCCTCAAAATATACCCCATCAACCATACTCACATCCTCACACTTGCACAGTAAGCTCCCGAAAATACCACAAGTGAATACAGTACTCCAGATGCCCTAGAATCCTAGTACTTGAAAAGTCCCTGTGGAAAATGCTGTAAAATAAAAATAACAAAAAGCGTGGAGCTGCCCGTAGGGCCTTCTGCAATGAAATACCAATGTAATATATAAACCCACTCACGCAAAAGGCCACCTAGTCACAAATGATTACCACTATTAAATTACTATTTATACCATTATTTAATTACCATTACAATCATAAAAGGCCATTGGCAATGAACTACTAATGCTAGCTACCATCTACTGAGCACTTATCCAAGTTGGGCCTTGGGCTAAACACTTCACACACGATAATCTCTAATTCTCACATTCACTCCTCAGTCATCAGCATGAAGTCACTTATGTTAAGTATTTCTCCAACACTGTTGTCTCTCTGCTCTGGGGTGAGACATCCAAGCCTCATGGAGGATTAAATGGCTCTTCCTTTTTCCCTTTGGTTCTAATTCTCTTTGGAGGAAGTGGAATGTCTTGTGGGCCTGAGTCTACCCATGGACTACCAGGTATGAGGAATTGTAGCAGATGAGGGCTTCTCTTCCTGATCCTTTGACTTGACACCAGGCCTTATGCTAGTCATCACCTGGCCCTCACAATTCCTCTATGATGTAGGAATTACTTGCCTAGGTTCCTGTCCCAGGCCACAGTGGCCCAAAGGCGCTATGCCAAACACTACAAGCAGCAGGCGCACTGACTTTTGAGTCCAAGCCCAGGCTTTTTCTAGTAGAGCACTGCAGATAAGTGTGTGATGCCTGTTGAAACCACACACGCAAGTGCCTCCTACAGCTCCTCATTAGCTTAGCCCTTCATCACATTGAAACACGTCCTTTCTTGTATACTCTAAGGCTATACCAAGAGATTTGCAAAATCCTACAATGTACACATTAAGGAAGAGGGAAGCCCAGAAGAACACCAAACCCAATACTTCTCCATTCTATTTTCTTTTTACGATGTTTAAGACAGGTCCTCAGTCACCCAGCCTCGCCTCGAACCTTCAGTTGAGGATGGCTTTGAACGGCTGTACCTCCTGTTTCCACTTCCCATGGGCTTATGATTACAGGTGCACATCGGGTGCAAGCTCTTCATTCTATTCCTAAATAGCGACTCTCCATTCAACCTTCTAATTTGCCTTAAGTATCGATGTACAAACTATTATTCTCTTACATGCAAAACTGCCGTGCCCACTGCACAGCCTGTATCCGAGAATGTGCAGAGGGTGTCAGGATTGATAACACAGAGACCAGTCGGCGGTGCAAAGAAAACTTTAAGCAGGCCCCAAGAAGGCTCAAGAAAACTTCCCAAGAAAGTCTTCCCTCAAGAAAAGCTTCTGCTCCCTTCCTTACCCCTGGCTGGTTCTGCTTTGACACCAGAGGCGGTGGTGGGTGGGTCAGGAAGAGATGGTTAGTCTTTGGAAAAGGTCGAGGTCAGGGCGGTCCAGTGTGGGTGAGCCCTTTTCAGGAACTTATTGTTCCAGTAAACATTTCTTATGGACACCGGATTGTTTTCAGTAAACATGTTTTGTTGTTGTTGTTGTTTTTACAAGACAGGGTTTCTCTGTATTATTTTGGAGGCTATCTGTCCAGCCTGGCCTCGAACTCACAGAGATCTGCCTATCTCTGCCTCCCGAGTGCTGGTATTAAAGGCGTGGGCCACCAACGCCCGGCAGTAAACATTGTCTTGTAGCTGCCTGCTCTCAGGCTGATGGGGAAGTGGGCCTCCCACCAAGGTCTGTTGTTCCCACACAAAACACAGGTTCTGTATGGTCCTGTTAGTATTCCAGTCATCCTCGTATCCAACACAACCATTTCCAATTGACAGGCACTGCGTGGGCTCACTCTACTTGTCTACATCTCTCAAAACACCTAGGAGCTCCGGGAGGTTAAGGACCAAGGTTGTCCGGAGCGTCCTATGCTCTATGCCTCTTCCCCACCCCCACGATCCTCCCTGGAAAAGAGCTCCAAAAACAGTTCTATTGATCGAAAGATGACAGGCAGCATAAACAAGTGGCTATGTAAGACTTACAGCAGTCTCCCACCCACAATCACAAAGGGGCAGGAATACGACCACAAGCAGCTACGACTTCATGAAGTCATCCCCAGAGGATCAAATGTAAGTAGCAGAAGTGTCTGGCAAATACTGACGCCTATTTCCAGCCCAGCATGCAGGGGAGCTTGCCAAAGAGTCCAGGTACAGGTCAACTGGGCCACCCGGAAACCTGTCCTTGTGCCCGGTCCCACCGGAAGTTACACTCCGAATTCAAGAACAGTCAAAAGAGGTACTAGAAGAATCACCCTTGACAGTTGTCCCAGTCAAGTCTGGGAGTGAGAGCGCCAGAGGTCAGGGTCATCAGCTCCCAGTGCCCTGTCCCGTTACATGCGTGGCCTCGTCACCCTCCGGCCTGCAGGTGCCTAAGGCGGACAAGTTCTGACCGAGAGCTGGCCGGAGCCGGGACGGTTACGGAGACCATCCCTCCCAACAAGGAGAACACGGCCAGGAACCCGTCCCTGCGGGACTCGTGGCGGCGATCCAGGGAAGCGAAGCGCCCTCGGCCCTAGGAACTCACCTGCGGCCCAGCCGGCACGCCCCGGACCGGCCCCGCGCTGCGCCCGCCAGCCGGGAGCAACACGGACTTCGCTGCTTCCAGCGGCCCGCTGGTCATCGCCCGAGGCCCCGCCCACTGGCGTCCGGGCGCTCTCGGAGAGCAGTGATTGGCTGAGCTCCGTCAAGCGACAAGAGGAAGGAAGCCAGGCATCCGCCTCTCCGTTGGGGTAAACGGAGGTAAATGCAGCGCCCCCTGGCGGTTAGGAGGCTCCTCAAGCGAAGTTGCCTCGTGCTTTTCTAGTGGAGAAAAGCGGAAAGTCATGGCACTCATAGATCCAACTGGAGTTCATCAGCCATCTTCTGAGACCTAGGTCGGGTATTACTGAAACAGAAAACCCAACCCCTAACCTTTAGAAGCTCCCCTTAGCAAAGGATAATCTAGTGCTTTGAAACCTCTTCGGGTCTGTACTTTCAGGCTGTGTGTCTTTGGGAATGTTATTAAATTCATCTGTGTGAGCCTCATTCCTTCTGCATAGCATTAACACCACCCATTTTCGTGGAATGTTGTGAGGGTTTGAAAATGTCACGTATGTCAAGTACACCGCAATCAGGGAAACGGATGGTAGCTATGGTGAGTCTACAAACAGCTGAACGATAGTGAAGCATTTGTACAAAACCCTCTGATAAGGCACCCACAGTCCTCCATGCTCCCACTCTCCCTGAACAGACATATATTTAATCACATACAGGAAAAAGCCTCACGTCCAAGCTCTTTAATGCCCCAACATGGACCTGCCTCCCCAGCCACGAGACACTGAACTCAATCTGACAAGCCTCCTTACCATTAGTAATACACACTAAAAATCAACTTTCTGAGCCTGTGCCTTTCCAGGTTTTTTCGTCTACCTAGAATTGCCCCCGCCCCCGCGCTACTTTCCCTTAACAAGTTAGTTGTGAGTCATGTCTCAAGGTCATGAATGCTTTCGCAGCAAGTCTCCAGGCTGCATCATCAGGTTAGAGATTCTTCCTATTTTATATCGAAGAACCCAAAGCTAAGCCTGGGAATGAAGATGAGGAGAAAGAAGCTGGCAGCAATTAGCAACCATAATTAGCAGAACTTGATTACTTGTGCACTGAATATGTAAAGAAGAGACAAGGTCAGAATTGTCTAGAACACAGTCTGGTATTCAGTCACTCATTCTACATACTAGACACTAGACACTAGAGATCCAATATGGACTGCCCTAAGGAGTTTTCTGGCTGAAGAGGAAGCAGATAAGCCCACAAGATGTTAGCAATCTATGCAATGTCATAACAGAGGACACCATCAGCCATACAAAGAGTCGGTGGATGTTCCCTAGAAGGACAGGCAGATCCTCAAGCTGTGTCTTAGCAATGAATAGGAGCTCCCTCCAGCAGAACTGGAGTGAGCACAGAAGCTCCGACTGAAAATGAAATCACAGCACTTGAGAGGTCATGAAGTTCTGGATCCAACCTCGGCTATGTACCAAGAGTCTATATAAATGGGGGTCAGGGGAGCTGAGCATAGTGGCGCACGACTTTAATCCTAGCACTCCAGAGGCAGAAGCAGGTGGATCTCTGTGAGTTTGAAAACGACCTGGTCCAATTAGTACTTCCAGGTCAGTCAGAACTCCATGCTGAGACCCTGTATTTAAAAAAAATTTTTTTAACCATACCAAACTTTAAAATTAGTCCTGGATTCAAATCCTGACCCTGTGGCCTGCTAATCTGAAAAAAAGATACTTATAATCAAAAAGGATTTTATTGTGTGTATGTGTGAATGGGGGTGTGCACATGAGCACAGGCACCTACGGAGGTGAGAAGAGGGTGTCAGATCCCCCTGGAGCCGAAATTACAGGAAGTTGTGAGCTGTCAGACATGGGTGCAGGGAACCAAACTTGGATCATCCGTTAAGAGCAGTATGCTCTCTAACCCCTGAACCATCTCCACAGTCCTATTTGTATTTTTTAAAAAGACAATCAGAAGATACCCTTGGACTGGTCAAATGGCTCAGCAGATAAAGGCATTGGCCACCAAGCTGACTGCCTGAGTTTAGCCCTCAGATCCATGTGTTAGAAGAAGATCAACTCCTGAAAGTTGTCCTCTGACCTCCCCATGGGGGTTGTGGCATGTGGCATGTGACTCCCCCCCACACACAAATAAAGCAATAAAAACTTTTAAGACATCCTCTAGAGCTGCTGTTTTAAACCATCTTAATGTACAGAGATCTCCGTAGTTCTGGGCATCTCGGTGAACTTTGGTAATGTTTCTTGACATATTAAGTATTCCCCAGATTCATGCTGCTTTCTGGGATGTTCATTTGGGCATTACTTGTTCATTAACAGAAAAATCTGTGTAATATCTTCATGTTTGCTCTTTTCATCCCACCCCAGATCCAGCCTACAGCATTATGCTTCCTAACCATCCCTCAAAATCAACACCATTACCTCTTACCTGGACCATTTTATCAGCTTCTCACCCTTCCACTGCCCCACCACTCCACAGCTATTCCTTTGGCCAAAGGACCATTCAAAAACTTAAATAAGCCAGGCGTTGGTGGCATACGCCTTTAATTGGTAGACAGAGGCAAGCAGATCTCTGAATTAGAGGCCATCCTGGTCTACAGAGTGGGTTACAGGACAGCCAGGGCGATACAGAGAAACCCTGTCTCAACACCCTCAAAAAAAAACTTAAATAAAACACTGGAATTTCTGCGTTAGCTCACAGAACCCTTTTGGCTGACCCTTTGCTAATCTGTCAATTTTCTGTAGCTTGCTTTTCTTATCATTCCCAACATAGCCATCCTTCCAAACCCACACTGGTCCCTTGGCCTGAAGGAGTGTCCTCCTTTTCCATTTCTCCTATGCAAAATCCCAACACATCCTGCAAGACAGTTCACCAGGCTTCCCCAAACTCCCTGTGCTTCAGATGGATATTTGTTCCTGATGAAAATTACATTGAAATCTAATTACCATTGTTTGTTCCTGCTTGGAAAAACTACATTGAAATCTAATTACCGTTGTAACCATGTGAAGAAGTTAGGCATCTTTAAAAAGTGATTAGGTCACAAGGGCCTATGGGTGAGATTGCAAAGGGGCGTCTGCCTCCCTCACTCCCTTTTCTTCTTCTCGCTTTCTAGCATGGAAGGGATTCAGCAAGAAGGACTTTGGCACCAGATGCAAGCTGGTTTGTTGTTTGCTCTGAGAATAGGTGGGTCTCATACAACTCAGACTAGCCTTGAACTTCTGATTCTCCAGCCTCCAGCTGGGATGACATGTGTGTGCTAGTACCCATTTGTGTTTGTTGCTTCTTTTGAGACAGTCATTTTTTGTTTTTTAATTTTATAGAAAATCATGAGTGTTTTGCCTACATGTATGTCAGTGTGCCCCATGCATGCCTGATGCCCAGGGAGGTCACGAGAGGGTGTTAGACCCCCTGGACCTGGAGTTACAGTTATGAGCTGTCATGTGGGTGCTGGGAACCAAATCTGCCTCCTCTAAAGAGAAGCCAGTGCTCTTAATAGCTGAGCCATCTCTCCAGAGTCCTTTTGAGCCAGTCTTGCTATATGACCTAAACGGGCCTTGAACTCATTGCAATCTTCTTGCCTCAGCCTCCAAAGTGCTGGAATTATAACCTCACCACATTCAGTTATTATTATTATTATTATTATCATTTGTATTTGTATTTGTGATGGTAATTTTTTATATTTATTTTTTATGTGAATGAGTCGTTTGCCTGCATAGCTGTATGTGCACCATGTGTATGCTTGTTGCCTAAAGAGGCCAGAAGAGGGCACCAAATTTCCAGGAACAGGAGTTACAGACAGCTGTGAGCTGCTATGTGGATGTTAGGAATGAAATCCCTGTTCTCTGCAAAAGCAAAAATTGCCTTTAACCCCCAAACCAACTCCCCAGCCCTACCAGTTATTTATTGTTGAGATAGGATTTTGATATGTTAGCGGGCTGGTCATGAACAAGGCTCAAATGGTTCACCTGTCCATACTTCCAAGTAGGTGGGGCTACAGGTACACACTGTTATGCCCTGCTTTAGGTATTTTGTTTTTGTATTTTTTGGTCTTGCTTTGTTTAAGACAGTCTCACTAGGCAAGGTGGCATACATGCATTTAATCCCATCACTTGGGGAGGCAGAAGTGGGTGGGAACACTGTGAGTTCAAGGCCAGCCTCGTCTACATAATAAGACCCTGTCTTGCTGGGCGGTGGTGGCACATGCCTTTAATCCCAGCACTCGGGAGGCAGAGGCAGGCGGATCTCTGTGAATTCGAGGCCGGGCTGGACCGACAGCCTCCAAAACAATACAGAGAAACCCTGTCTCAAAAAACAAAAACAAAAAAAAAAAAGAAAGAAAACAACAAACAAGCAAAAAAACCCGAATTGATATAGGAATGAATATTTTGCATTGGTATGGATTTTGGTTTATTGATACAAATTTAAGGTCAATTTTGTTATATGTATATTTCAACATAATACCTAAATAGGTATCATGTTTATGCAGCTCATTTAAAATGTGATGTATAGTTTAAAATACAGATTATAGTCACCTATAATAGTCAAAACTTACATTAGTTAGGTTTTCTAGCTATACAGAGATATATTTCAGATGGATAGGTATTCTTCAAAACCTTTCAAAGATCTACAGAATATGGCATTTAAAATGTTTAACTTAGGGCTTTTCATGACAATGAGATACATCTGCTCCTAGCAACACCAATTATGTCAGAGAGGAAGATGGGCATTGAAGAAACTTGTTATGGAGTTTGCTTTCACTATGGCAGGGATAGCCATTTGGACAAGAAACTGCTCTTGCTCGGACTGCTTGATAGCACATTTTCCAAACTGGACAAGCAGGTTACAAAGAAAATCAACTGTTAAACTTGTCAAGGGACAGAACCGCCCCTCAAGGTCCCTGCTTCATAGGAAAGTCTGCCAGACACTCTGGGCCTATGGGCTGAAAATGGATGCCCCAATGTTACAGAGGAACTTTGGGTGACTGTCCAGGCAGCAAGATGTCTCAGTCAATTCTACAGTTTATATTATATCCTTCTGTGGTCTTCGATGGAGTTGAAGACAGGTAGTTATGGTTATGGTTTTTCTTA